GTATATCAATTACGATGTGCTATGCTCATTAAGCTGTATACAATCAATTCTACAATTGGATTGTATCACACATTCACTTTGATCGATGATTTTCAATTATTCCAAGTTCATGCTTGAGAAGTTTCGAATACCAATAGGGTTCTTTTTATTTTGCAAAGCGATAACTTTTAAGTTATATTTCTCATTTTTTGACCTATAAGTAATTTGCTTATAATAAAAATAATGCATGATTATGATACTCAATAAAGATTTGCAATTGTCGTAATATACTGAACCTCAATTATACTCGACTGACAATTAAACGGATAATATAAGTGTTGACTAACGATTTTCTGTTATTTTTTCTTGACAAGCTTCACCGTTTGTTACCTGGGTTTGTACTGGTATGGTTATCCTGTGTTGTTACTGATATGATATTGATATCAATCAATTAAATCACCTTCCGGTAGCCTCGTCCTTACTGCATGCTATTATTGAGGCGTATGAATCCCCCTTTAGAAAGAGGAGAAAGCTGATGTTATGGTGTACTCAAAGAAATCGTTTGAACCCATATTTGTCCATATTGTTTGTGAAAGTCTGTCTACGATAGTAAAGCTCCCTAAAGCAGAGTAATAGCATTATATTGACTTGTCAGGGAGAGCATAAATACGGTATCTGGTCAATGACAAAGGAAGGTGTGAGTTACCTCCCTTGTCTGGCCTCTTCAATGTTAATCTCCGGTTCACATAGCACTTTGAATGCCCCGCCCTCTCGATACTTTAACGGATTCTCCATCGGACTTATTTCTTCTGACAAAAAAATAATGGATTTCCGGAAAAGGAAGGAATTCTACACGACTGAAATAATTAATTACTCCCCTTTATCAAATGTATGAGCTTCAGTGAAATGTTTTTGAAATCTTTGTGTCTGTGATAGTTACACAATAACCAAAAAGGACGTTAGGTCGGATCTCACAAACCTATATATTGAAATGCTGTCACACAAGAAATATCATGACTCAGAGTACGGTGACATATAATCCTAATTCCTAACTAGAATTACAGTAAAATTTTGATATAAAGACCATCTTTTCATTTGTCCCTTAAATTCCTGCCAAGACGAAGTTTTTTTCCCCTCATTTCCTTATTTCATCAGCATTTCCTTATTAATAACGCCAGACCCCTTTATAACGCCACCGTTTTACTGAACAAAACTGGCGAAACGAGATTATATTTTTTTTGAAATATATAACAATAAACTGACTTGATATATCCATTGTTTGATCGTACATTGTTAAAGCTGACTGATATAGTCTCCTGCAGAATCAAGGACTATCCGCATCATCTTCTGAAAAGGCCGTACTTTATCCTGTAGTCTCTTTGTATTGTTCTCAAAATTGAAATGTGTTCTGTTTGAAATTACACTAATTTGACATTTGCTCATTCAGGGCTAAAAATCATGCACGCAACACTCTGAAATACATACTGCATCCTCTACAAGAGAGTTTGAAGAGTGAAACGGCATAATATTCCTCATGCAAGTTTGTCCACTTCTACATTATTGAAAGTTTTTATATCAATTAATTCAATTTGTTTCCGAAAGTTTTACAACTTATTGGGTGTATATGTTTAATACGAGTAACAATTAAACTATCATTATCATCGTCGTCGTCGTCCTCCTCCTCCTCCTCCTCCTCCTCATCATCATCATCATCATCATCAACATCATACAATATAAGTATCAAGTGTCTCGTATTTACCTGTTCTGACTTTTGGACATATGTGTGTTGTGTGTCGATTGACCGTTTGGAATATACTCTATATAACCTAATTATCATAATTGCTGTTAATTTCTTTGTATATTGAACAATTCAAACATAACGCCGATATGCAATATAGCCTAATTTATCATAAAGCGATCTGTCTTAACAGAAATAATGTCAACGTTCCATCTGACGGGACGGCTGGGTCTATTAGCCTTGTTTAGCTTTCCTGTCCGACACTGCCACTCAGAAAGTCCTTTCACTCGTTAACGCTACCGGGAACACAACAAATTAATATGCAGTAGTATAAAAGTTAATTTGTACAAATGAGTTTTTGATTTGGGAAGACTTCCATCACGTACAGACAGCGACACGTGGGTAGCTGGCATCATCGGTTAATTTGCTGACCTCAAGGTCAGCTGCACCCTCATTAGTCCCATTGAAGTCACGGAGGAACGAGAGTTCGGCACGTGCTTGAGTGCCTGGTGTTATTCGGAACTAAGAGGGCGTTTGATTAAAGTTATTGTCGCACGCCGTTTAATGTGATATCGTTATTAAACAATTGTGAGGAGACTGGAAACAAAACAATTGACACAAATAGATTTCATAATTTAGAAGGGGTGATGGTGATGAGGGGTTCGCTGTCAGGGGCTAATGGCTTTTGCAAGGTAAAGTGTCGATTTAAGGAGATAACGTCTGGTCAAAAGCCGTTCACTTCATATCCATAACTAACATTAGATGTAGATCGGTAGGAAAACACAAACAGAACTGATCATACGTCAACTTCTTAACAAGGAAAGACAACGCCCTCCCTTGGTATTGATACAGAAGAAGGATTACGTATACATCGCAATTGGTATCCTTTTAAAAAAACGACCATCGTCAAACCTTGGTAAGTTAATCGAAGTCCACCTATCTATGACATATCGGCGGACGAATAATCATATCATAACAGAAAACAAATCAAACAGTTAGGAATCGGGTCACGACAGTTAAATTCTTCAACGTAGTTTGAAAAAAAATAGAACGAAAGCAATTCTAGACCCTCAGATTAATGGTCAACTAAAATTATAAACTGCTTCTGAAATAATACACTTTGTCAGAACAATGTTTATAGGACACACCATCTTCCCCATTGCGGGTGTCTATCAACAACGTCCTTTGCGGTTGATAATTCATGTTCTGATTTACTCTTAACCCCCCTCCCTCCCCCAAAAAATGATAAATGTGATAATTTAAGAGTCTCTTTACATGATAACGTAGACAATACAACGCTCCACGAATAAATATAGGTATCGTAGTGATACCATGGACGGGTAGTGGAAAGAGTGCAAATTTGTAGTCAGAATGATAGTCACTAGAAAAGAATGTATTACATTTACTGTTTCTCTTAAAAGCATCGCCATTATGTCTACACAAAAATGTAGATATATCATAATACGATCGAATACCTTCAAGTTTTAATATTCCTGTAAGGCAGATGTAGTTTATCTCGTCAATAAATGCAACCTGAAAGCTGTTCAATGAATAAATAGGTATTATATAATATATTATACATTAATAGCAAAACGAATATTGAATAACACTGCATTGTACTGCTGTCTCGTTACTTTCTATACAAGGTACTAAAACTAAAATGTAATTGCACTGCTCAATGCTAATGTTCCTTCCTTCCATGTGTCATCAGTGATACTAAGGGCCAAGAGGTGGAAATCTTGTAATTCTTCATGCATTCAACGTGTGCTGCTTCCTTTGACAGATTTTTAAAGAAAAAAATCAAATTAATATAAATATAATCAGTTAAGATGGGAAAAAGTACAGCGAAATGTACAATTTAGACGATACTGATGAGTATGAAACATGTTTTTTTTAACATTGTGTAGAAACAGTAAAAAAAAATATCAAATAACTAGGATGTGTTCAATCGTTAACTAATACGATTAGTATGACTAACATCACAATACCCCCTTCCTATGGCGTTATACTAAACTCTGTGTCACCACAATCACATTAACCTATAGCGAACATGTTAAACATCTCCATGGCATCAAAGCCGTTACCTAGGAAACACCAGAAAGGTTGGGTCAGAGTAAATCAGGGGGGCGGGTCCCATCAAATAACAGCGGATGTGAAACCATTTTAATATCCGTTTGCGAAACATATCTTGTTTACAATATTTTACTTAACAAAACGTCCGAATTCCTTGTTGTCATGGTGATTCCAATATGAATTCTACAGGTAAATCACCAGGGCGGATAAACTAACTACTTCAATGAGTTGATCATTGACCCAGAGATGCTTTGGAACGGGTATGACTTGGTAGATATTTGACATGCATTCTCACGAATACCGAATTACGACATGGGTTTTCTACATTTTAATTTCACAAATTATTCCATTAGTTTGATCATCAGAGTTGACAGCTATAAGATATTTCTGAATTTGGTGTATCGAGTTCAGTATACAGTGACATATCCGCGATCTGGCGTCTATATAAACACTTACGCTTGTATTCTAAAGATAATTTCTTATACCAGTTGTCAATAGGAATTTTCATGCGTGCAAAGAAAATGCGATTTTTTTTAAAATACCGAAGGAGTGTTGCCCATTTACTAATAATTCTATTTTGGACTTGAAGCTGAAAATGTACTGTTTCTATGACATGTATGTAAAGTTAATATTTAGATTAATGTTCGAAATGTGGAAGCCGGATATTCATTAGGGACCCTATACTTCGGTCATCTTCGTTCCCATTAGATGATCCCACCACCTTCGTTCCCATTAGATAATCCCGCCACCTTCGTTCCCATTAGATAATCCCGCCACCTTCGTTCCCATTAGATGATCACGCCACCTTCGTTCCCATTAGATAATCCCGCCACCTTCGTTCCAAATAGATAATCCTCCCACTCTCGTTCCAAATAGATAATCTTGCCTCTCTCGTTCCAAATAGATAATCTTGCCTCTCTCGTTCCCAGTATATAATCTTACCACTTTCGTTCCCAGTAGATAATCTGGCCACTCTAGTTGCCAGTAAATAACCAGGCTAACCTCGTTCCCATTAGATAATAAGGACTCCTCGTTTCCAGATGATGAACCGGAAACATGAATATCATGGGAAATGACGTGTGTAATGGCTTCGTTACTTACTGTACAGTCACAGACTGGATATTGTGACAATTTGGATTACTTGTATTTACGAAAGAATCAAGACTTTTGTTATTAATTTGGAAAATAAGAAAAGAAATAACGCTTTTCATACCAAAAGAATATTTATTAAAATGTATGGGAAGTATTATAATGAAACATAATGAAGTTTATCTAACATTGTAGCACACGTATTTCAATGACTACATATATAAAACGAGATTAACAGAAAAAATGATTATGATATTGATTTATAATAACAAGCACTAACCGTTAATATATAAAAAGAATAAAAAAAGAATTATATGTAAACGAAAACAAACTCACGCGCACTTATTTCAGAGAGGAATCAATTTGATTGTCCATAACAAGCACTATAGTATAATATGAAAATTAAAAAAAATAAACATAATTGATCATAAAATTATGATATGTATCTCAAAAAATATCCATTCACACATCTATTTCATTGGAGTTATTAATTTGTCATATTAACGTATCTGTATGCTGTAAACACAATAATTTTAGTGGAACGCTTTTATTTTAGCGGTATTCATATCTAGTAGTATCATTGTCTCTGGCGGGCTATTAATGTACAGCATTAACTCTAGAAAGACATATATTACTCACGATTTTGTTTTTATGATAACCAAAATACTGCAAACAAACACCTTTTAGTGGTAGTCTTATTTCAGCGTTTTTCGCGCTATAATACCATGTGTTTCGCAGAATGATGATTGCGCAAATTTAAATTCCTGTTTATTGTTTTGGTTTGTATATTTTGCAGATACGCCAATTTTTTTATGTGTTAATCTGTTAAAATTCGATAATGCATTAATCGGTTAAAATTCGATAATGCGTTAATCTGTTAAAATTCGATAATGCATTAAAATCAAAGTGCGCCTAGATAGGTACGTTAACAGTATGATTACACTAAGATTAGTTCATTCATGGTAGTAGATGCTATACTGCAATACAAAACATATGAAATTAGAGTCAAACAGCTGACTTTTACAGAGATGAAAATGCAGATTTCATCGTAAAAAGTGTGTTTGTGACAAAAATTTAAAGATTTACCTCCACAATCAGTGCAATGAATCGGATATGAATTGCTACAAAATGAAGTATTCCTGTACATGAATGGTATCGCTTTAAACATAACAGTACAGTAATCGATTGACATGTTCACAATGTCTACAGTGAAAAAACAACAGTTTTTGTCATGTTCCGTTTGGAAGGTAAGAATGCATGGATACAGGAATAACATGATGGAATAAATATTCACTTACTCTCTCACTCACAAACATATGATAATGTGTTTGGTACTGTTTAGCACTCATACTATTCATGACTTTCAAATAGGTATCTGTACAAATATATCATTGATCAGTGTATATATATTTATATATATAAAGGGTAAAGTCCATACGTCAACGGATTTAAACATGTATACGATGATTTATTTATGCAATATGTAATACTGTACAAGTATAGATTAACATGGAAATATAACTCTATCGGTTTTCTCATCACTTCAATTTTAGATTTCAAGTAAACGATCTATTTCAGAGCTTACAGTTCTTCTTTACCGTGAAAAATGCATTGACCTTTCACAGAACTCACTTATAACCTGAACTGATTCTTGTTATAATCTTTTAACGAGTTCACTGTTATAGACTTTCACATAGCTTTCTTACCCCAGTACTGCTTATACTTTGTCGTAGTGTGCCGAAAGCCTTTTCCCTACTCTTTCATAAGGCTTGCGTATACTATTCTCGATAAAACATGTTTATACTCTTTCATATAACTCACTTATACGTTAAGTGCGGTTACATATTTTATAAGTTTTGATAAATCCACACACAACCATTTCTAAGTCTCACTCACTGGATTTCTGATACAATGTCTAACCCTGAATTCTATAGGATAGGTATATAAGTTGCCAACGTTGAGATGATGAGAACGATGACCAGAGACTGTGTTATCTGGGTGCCGCCGCCCACTTGGATCATGAATGATATTGTCGGATCCACTGGAACATGTCCACCTGAAAAGACAATACAATTTCGGTAATCACAAGTACGCTTGGTTTCACTACCGTCATGGTTAATTTTAAGTTAACATGTACCAAATATTTTCTTAAAGCATTATTTGTACCTGGAATTTAATACAGAACAATTGTATGCTCACAAATCAGTATAATTCGTATGCATTTCGCATAAAATTCAGTATATCACCCAGTATAAGTTCCGTTCAAATTAGTATACCTTCCGCATATCTATCAGTTTCACGACATTTTTTAATCAAATCACAACATATGCGATGTAATAAGTGACAGTACAAAAAATGATTTCTTTACAGTATAGCGCTTAAACCTCAAATTTTGTACTAAAACCGCCATGAGGGAACCTTGGTCAATTATTTCTTAAGGAGCGCAGAATAGTAAATTGAATATGAAGTAACCGTGAATGAATCACTTCGAACCTTGGTATAATGTGACAAAACATCCCGAAAAGGGCGATAACCCTCAATATCATGATAGTACAAGGTATGACGTATTATTTTGATTGATATTTGACAAGTAAGATAGCTTCATGATCTTAGCTTTAAAAGATATAAATGTTTGAACAAAAAAAAAAAAAAAAATGGTATTCCGGGGACTTTATGCGTTTATTTTAATTGACTTTCTTATGAAATTCTGTATACAACACCCAACGAAGTATCTTGTTGGCATTGCTTGTAATAATCTGGCAAAAAGAAAAAGAAAAAAAGAAATTTGGGGATATTTGAAATATAAGCTTAATTATTAGCTTATTTGAAGTTAGATAAAAGATGTCTCGGCTTCACCTTTACTCACCGAGAGTGAAATACTGTGTTGGACTTTTCTTGCCGTCCCCGCCGTTACTGTAGCCGAGTACTCTTAGGCTGTATATAACATCCTTTTGGATCCCATAGATAACCGCATTCGTTACCTTGTTTGTAATTACGGTTTTTGCTGCTCGGAAGTTCTCTCCCCTCGGCCAGTACTCGAGCTGTAAAACAACATATCTCACTACATTCAACACCTAAGCAGTGAGAAACATAAATTATCAACCGAGACACATATTTGATTTGATATGATAGTCAAGAATGGTACGTGTATAAAGAATTTAGGTCAACTGGTCAAACAGCAAGACTGTACTACAATATTAAATATCAAAAGTAACCATCCGTTCATACCAGTCTTTTGACCTAACGAATTCGAAGCTCCAATGCGGTAGGATGATCATTGAACCGGACATGATCGACATCAGTGAGAAACAGACTACTGCGTAGGTAACGACAATGAATAATATATATCACTAAAAGTAACTCCTTTTTACAACTGTGTCTAGGACCATTTCAAGTATTTCTGTTGTTAAAAAAAGAGCGTTCAGGTGTAGGAAAAAAGCATATCGCAATAAAAATGTACAAATCCATAAACTTAAAAGATTACATATGGTCTTGATATCCTGATGATAAAACATTAATGGAATCATTTCAGAATTTCTGATATTATTGTAAGACACTGTCATGATGCAGGCTTTAAAACCTAACGACTAGAGCTATATCATATAGTGATATATAGTGTTGGAAAAAGTTAAATCGAAAAGGAGTAAGGGGAGTAACTCTTGTCAAAAATAAAGAATCTGATGTAAGTTTAGTTGTCACATAATTATCAATATAATGACGTGAAAGTAAGTAAATACCAGGTAGATTTATTTTTTATTTTTCTACAAATCAAATATGACCCTTCATCATACTTATCCAAATTAAATGTTTAGAAATAAGTTTATCCCAGTTTTGTCACATTTATATAAAAAGTGATAATAAGGTGAGGTTACTTTGTGCACGAAAAAAAAAAACCATTAATCACCCGGTATCCTGCCTTAAGTGGTACAGGTATCCTTAGAATGGCGTGTAAAATGGGCTTCATTGTTGTAATATAGTAATAATATTTCTGAGTTGGAAACAAAATATCCTTACCATTACTGCATTTGACGACGTTCTAACGAGTCAAAAATAGTACGTTTTCAGCAAGAACTTGGTTGCCTTATCGCCGTTGCTTGACCAGTACTGATGCCAGTATTTAATATATCTGTATTACCTTTAACTTGGAAACCATTGCTATGTGTACCTTATAGCCTTTGATGGACTCCTCCAGGAGCCCAGTACTGATACCACGCCATTTGACTGCCACACTCTCGGAACCATGGGATGAAATCGTCACATACTCCGGATACAGGAAGGGTGCTGTCAAATATAAGTAAACGAATGATAAATATTTCATTCGATATATTTCGAAAAGCTTATAAACAGCAACTTTAATTTAGAAAATAGAAGAACCTTGGGTCAATAGTTGACCAGTATTAATCTCCACCTGAAGAACGTTCAAGTAAATCTATTTATTTCACAACAAGTTATTGCAACTTATATTAATCACTCTTGTTGGCCCGGATGTGAGCGCGCGGCGGGTTTTAATGTTGGAGGAAACCGGAGTGGTCGTGCAGGTTGCCCCATTCCTTTTCACGTCCGATCGGAATGATGAAAGGCGAGTGCTCTACTGCGCCACCTGAACACCACATTCAAGTTGAACATTATATAAGGAGATCAATTATTTATGGAAATGTAAGAATTGAGAAAAAAACCTTCAAGGTGAGAAATTGTAAATTCCTAACCAAGAAATTACCGGCATTCGGATAAGTAAATGCGGCTTTCTTACCGTTGAGATAGGTACTGATTCGATATCTCTCGCTAGGGTTGCTTTCTCCTGCAGTGTTGAAAACCTGTACTGTCACCCAATAGTCCGAGTTTGGCTCCACACCTATGATTGTACCAGTCGTGTGAACCCCATACAGGTATGTTGTACCAGACTTTCGGTTTGGGTCATTAAAGTCTTCGACATTCAGCTAGAGAGAGTAGTAATTAAGAATGTACGTTCAAACAACACGGCAGAAAACGTTAACGTATGTGATCCAAAAATTATCATGAAATACATATTGATACAGATTCTACATAACAAGTATTTGATTTTATTGATCAAATGACCTGAAGTAGAGGTCGTGTTTCTCTGTCGCGCTCGAATGATCTATTCCATATTGTCCTCAATCGTTGCTGCCTCTGTAGTGAAAAAGTTATATCATCAGAATTCAGAGTGAATGAAACAGACGACAACTATATTACGACAGCCTGGTCATTTCTACCATAGTGCTATAGTTCTATCTATATGATGTAGATATGGTAAACACTTGTGGTAGGGAATTAACACTGTTTCATGTTCTTATGATAACGCATGCTTAAAATGTGCTTTGAGCCAGTGAAACATGATGAAATGCCGGGAAACAAAGGAAAACCTTTCCTTTGCGGAAGGGTAATAGGTGTGTATCCTTACAAGCACTGTACTCTACAGGTTCACCATATTCCGTTTCCAATGTACATTTATACTACATAATGAATAAATGGCATAATATCCCATCATATCCTGCTATTTTTCTAACGACAGAAATACGATATATACAGCAACAATGCTTCTTAAAAATTGGAACCATGAGAAGTTGTTTCACGCTGTTTTCTAGCTAAACATTACATAATCCCAAGTATGATAATCGGCTAAGAAAGTGTACCCTGATTTGTTATAAATAGGTCACATTGCAAACATGATATCCAGACGGAGCAACGTTTGCGGAAGACTCACAGTCTCATACAACTTACTGACAGTAGTTTCTAAAGTGTTGTACATCACATACAGCAGATGAGAGAATATAATATAATTATAAGATATATATACCGTCTTATTGTTTTAATTTATTCAGTAACACTTGGGTAAGAAAAGAAACACAGTATAACTTCATGCCTTACCTCAAAACCCTGAATAACACCTTTCATAGCTTGACGAGTATTTGGTACTGGGTCCCAGGTAAGATATATTGACGTAGAGTTGACCCCGTCTCCTCTGATATTCTTCGGCACAAACGTGGGCACTGCATGAAAATTGTTAAACTGTTAAGCTCCTATTAGCGTAACTTCTAGATCAAGTTCTCTCATACAAGGTACACATTTTATATCATCGTAATTGTACAACAAACGTTTGCGAAAAAGATAGAATGTATACATGCACGCGTAGACTCTCACTCGTCAAAGCAATGTTGTTCAAGATCAACCATACAAATACATGGCTCACTTTTTACATTCGTAAAACGAAGTAAGTGAAAGAGTGTTGCTATCGCATGTTCTCGAATGACAAATACAGCATGAACGCATGTGACTATATCTCTGTAACTCATTATTATTCACCAATGAAAAGTGTTATTACACTACCAACGAAGAAAGATTACCAAATTTTAAAACGAAAAAATGTTGTTGAGTTAATAAAGCAGATTTGAACGAATATTACATCGGACTCAGCAAGTATTTTAACGTATCTGAAGCAACACATATAAGGTAAAAGCAATGAATAATAACTGCGTAAAGACCCACTTCCTTCCGCGGAGTAGACAATGGCTATCGTGCTGTTTGGTCCATATCCGAACTCGTTGAATGCACCGATGATGACTTCGTACTGGAGGTAATAGTTATTTAGGCCGACATCTTCCACGTGTTGACTGACATCTCCCGTCTTCATAACCTTCAAACAAGGCAAAGGAATTTGTAAGTTGATTACAATTTTGACACGAATACAGGTATTTTTATTTCGTTGAGTATTGTACACCGAAAAAGCCTGTCTACGTCAAATTGTCTGTTTTGTGTTTTTTAAACCTTTTCGTCCTGTTTTGAATTTGATTACATATTCTATACTTCCACTGTAACTGTGCTACTAATTCAATGTATATTTGTGTTCGACCGGTATTAAGTTTTCCTTCTGTTCAAATGCGAAAGGGGCAAAAAGAAAGGCAATGATTTGTAATATACGTTATGTCATTTTCTTCCAAGGAACTACTTTTATCAATATTGTTTAACTCATGCTGCGGAAAACTTTGACAGAATGTTTTATTTTTATATTAATTCTAGAACTGACAAAATTGCTATATAAAACAGAGAAAAAAAATCCCTTCATTTTTCTTAAGAATGGCATATATACACAATGTTGACTAATTAGTATTTGCAATATGCTACATGTAGAACTAGATGCAATGCATTACACGTACCTGTTTGTATGCGGTCGTGTCGCCTTGAAGTCTCCAGTAGATAATATAGCCGATTGAATTACCGCCTCTGTCCTCCAAAGGAAGCGGCTGTGGGATGTTTAAGAAAAGATACAAGTATTACACCGTGGAGAACCCAAATCAGATTAATAAAACTTAATATCGATACTTGTCTTGGCAAAAACACTGGATCGAACAAAGGCGGCAAAAAATATACCTTATCAGTGTATGCGTCAAAGAGAAAGATGAACACGTTCATATTTATTATATTGGCACTGCACTTTCCATTCATTCTATAATATCCATGATAACATTTGCAATTAACAGATAAATCCCTCTCCATTACACAAACAATAAAAGAAAATTAAATCAACGAGTTAGCACTAGATAGATTTCCTGATTAGTGATCACTGATGGCACGAATAACAATGCATCATCTATACTGACCGACCACGTGATGGTTAGAACGCCGACAGTGCCGCCACCTCCTGTCACTTTCCTAGGGGCAACAACTGGTGCCGCGCCATCAAGATGGTACGAATCTAAAAGAAGACCCCATGTATGTGAATTAGTCCCAAAAACGACACCCAAATAGCTTACAAAATGTAACAAAATGATTCCGTATATGTCGAGCGTAAAAAAGACAAAATATTAATAAAACACTAAATCATGTTCATGTAAGTGAAAGCTTTCAACAAAATAGAAGCAATGCTAAAAAAAATCAAATGCATACATATAAAACAGAAAGTGTCGTGTAGAATATCGTGTCTATTTTACCTCATTCTGTGGAATGGAGCTTTACCTGACGGAATACTAATTGGACCCAGGGTTGGGTAGCTGTTTTTGGCTCTGACCCGGAAAAAGTAGTCATTGAAAGGTTTCAGGCCCGTAACCATGAACGTTCTCTTATCCATACCACTGCCGGGATCGGATAACAGGGCGTCCTGCTCTGAAATATCTGAAAACAAGAAGTCAAGTAGAAGTTTATGTTTGTAAAATAAAAGAAATGTGTATGCCCTTCATGCGCTTATTTTAGGTAGATATGTTCTGCATCCCTGCATAGCAATTCCTATTCTGTGGTTTTGGTACACACATAATACCTTATCGAGATTTTGTGTTTTAAAACATTTTTTAAGAAACGCAAATTGTAACTTGTATTATACTTCTAGTATTTCTGTTGGCCACTTTTTCTATTTTAAAGGCAGGAATACCTACTTGCTACCTGCACCTTCCATTCGGGGTTGTATTGTGTCTTTGACTCAATGATGTAATAGAGGATAGGGCTGCCGTGGTCTGGAGGTGGGGTCCATTTCAGACGGAGCGAATGAGGTGTTCTACTATATAGATCTGCATAGATTCCAGCAGGTTCCCCAGGGGGTCCTGAACATTATAAAATGAATATAAATATTGTCCAGGATCAAATGGTCTTACCACATCTAAAATTATAGAAAGACGAGCGCCACTGGAGTCACAGTCAAAAAGATAGGTGAGAAACGCTCATGCAAATACTTAGTGTTACTATGAGGGCAGAGGTAAATAATGGTTTTATTACACGTACGTTCGTGAAGACAAAATACAAACAACTGAATACATATGAACAACTAATTAACTACATAAATGGTTTCCAAATTTTGTTTTTGTTCGGATCGTGTTTCTTTACAATATGTTACAGCAGCGATAAATCATTTACATTTCTGGAATTGTGAAGTTGACTTTTCTCATCATCCTCCCCCTACACATACACTATTTTTTGTATTACTAGATGTACCTTTGACGGTTAATGTCGCTCCACTTTTGATCATAGACCTCGTTGTCAGTGCCTGACACTCGTAGTAGCCAGTGTGGTGGAAATCGGCGTACATTATGTACAGTCCACGTATATTTATCCGCTCGCCCTGTAAAGGAAAGTTTTACCACACATTTAATGTAAATGGTATTTTGTCGAAATAGAAAAACAAACAAACAAAAATATATAAATCATCGGAGAAGTCAAATTACAAGGATGCAATTCGAAATCAAATTATAAACAAAAATCCCAGAAGAACAGTCAAACACAAAAGACCTGTCGCGTTGACCTTTTCTTGGAATACCCATTCTGGCCTGTTGCATTCTTTGTGTAGGTATGTCTACCCGTTTACTGATGTTCAGCATTATCGATAAAACACATGTACAGAGACCAGCTGTCAGTAATCCTATCAGCGTTACAATGAACTAAATACGATATTAAATATGGTGTGTGTTTCATTGTTCAACATATGCAAGTGAAATAGAACCTATTTTTATACCAGAATGCATATACAATGCAGAAAATTTGAAAATATAATATTTGACATATTTGTTGATAAAGTTAAGCTGAAACTGGTCCCTGGATAAATATCTTCTGTACAAATATAATGTAATCAAAACAAAAGGCAAACAACATCACCTTCTACCAAATATGATGAATATATTTGAAGATAAAAATATCGTAAGACGACCAGGATGTCTGCAAGGGAAAATGTTTTCTGTAGCCTTTGTTTACTTTGCCGGAAAATTTTTCTTGTCAACACCAATCAATGCCTAAAACATGGCAAAGTATCGCATGCACCACATAGACCCTAAACGGTCAAAGGATGTAGCATTTAAGGTATCTTTAATCAGATTTAGCCATTTAAAAGATTTAATCCCAAGGTATAAATGTAGGGCCAGTTTCGTGAACTCTTGTGAAATAGCAAGGGAGATTTGCTCCGAGCAAGCTACAGTACTGAAACTGGAGCAAAGGACACAACTCTGTATAAAATTCGATACACAAGAGGTCACTTACTATTCGATAATGCGCATTTTGCGTGATGTTGATAACGCGGCCATTGTGGGTCCAGCGGTAGATGAGGTCATATCTGGTATCATAGGATACCTCACACTGTAGAAAAGCTGTGTTGTTATAGTCGACGTCCGTCGTCACCGGAGTCTGGATAAACGACATCTGGTCTACAAAAATAAAATAAAAAATATACAGTCGAACTTTGTAATGTCGAAATTGCTACAACTGTATATAAAATCTCAAGGATTAATTGTTAAGCATTCATGCCCCACTGCAAACAAGAAATCAGAGAATTCCCACTTGACCTTCCGTACAAACAGTAACCTCCCTTGATTCTTGTCATGGCTATGATAGTTGTACGGAGTTTGAATACTGATGTAGTCCCGTTGCATTCTTGCGCTGTTCTTGATTGATTTTGTTTACCGCAGTGTATGTGTCCCTTTTCATATATGATTTATCAAAGCTATAATCATTCCGGGAATAGTTTCAAAAGTATGGTGATAGATCATTTGGGTTATTGTCAATATATATCAAAAAGGGGTTGAGCAACATTTCAGAACAGACCCTTTCATTTTAATTGCGTGACCATAACATTGGTAAGCAAATACGGAAATGTTAAAATCTTTTGCTTTTGATGTCAAAATATGAAATGACATACAATATATTGTGACGTCATAGCCATGCACATTTACAATTGACCAACCTACATTGAAATCCCATTATTCCACACGCAATGCTTCAATACAATTTAAAAGTATTTATTTCATACTTTGTAAGTAATTGACCTTTCCTTTTTATAGGGGTAGATGTTGGCTTTTACAATCAAATTTGAATTTTGATTTTGACATCGTACGATTACTTTGTAATACATTTCGTTTTTTATTTTTCTTGAACATAAAGCCCTTCTTGTCAACCCAAATTCGTTTTTTAGAATGTCTAGACCAGTGCAACTTCTATCATATTATTCATTTATTTAGAGTGAAGACCGGAAGGAAATTAATTAATCTAAGGGGAGTTGATGTTGCCGTTAATTATACGTACAAGCAGCATTTCACTTTAGATACATACTTATGACAGTTAGTTTGCAGTGACTCTGGGCCTTGCCATTAACATTGGTAGCCTCACACGTATACAGTCCCTCATCTGACAGCTGCATGCGCGTCATTCGAAGGTCGCCATTGTACATCACGTGAAGTCCAGTTCGTGCTCCTATTGGAACTCCATCTCTGAGCCATGATATCTCTGGTGTTGGGGCTGCTTCTGGTCGACACGGAATAGTGATGTTGCCATTCATTGCACCATACATTGTCATCGGTAACGGGTTTCTAAAGAACGATGGTTTCACGGCTGCAATATCAAGTTCTATCATCTTGAGTTAGGTTAAAAAATATACAACGTTCAAATTTCTAAATTCCTTGTAAAGTTCACTTTGTTCCATTAAAAGAATGTTTATTAAGTGTATGAGGAATCAGGAACATGACAATGTTACCTTTATCTTAATTGTTGAAAGATACAAATATATATGGCTACAATGAACGAGTACATGTACCGAACCTGGAAAAATAGACACAAAATGATTTATGTTATAGGCTTACACTAAATGTACTAAATCAAGGTTTTTTTCTCCATTTCTTACCATTTGCTGTGTTCTGTAAGCAGGGTCCAATGATTCAAAATCAAAATGAGGCTAAATTTGTTATAAAAAATAGTCAGGAAAACTTACACAAAACACGAAGCTGTGCTCCACTCAGCGTTATCCCGTGAGAGTTTTCTGCTGAGCATTGATACATGCCACTATCACGTGCAGGATCTAGACTGGTGATTTTCAAAACGTTTGAAGTGATGTCTATCTGGCCTGGGACTGGGAGGAGAGGTTTTGTATTTTTGTACCACGTGAATGTAGCACGTGGTATAGCGACCGCCTCGCATCGCCAGGTCAGTTCACTGTTGATATCAGCGTGGATATTCTTCAACGGGGACACATAGTAAGGCTTTGCTGGAAATAGGAAATTTTAAATCGTAACACATGCCGTTATAGATTCAAAACAATATGAACCAATGCTGAAACAGATGTTCAACATTGATTGAATCTATTTACAGTTATTCCGAGGATTATCATTTTTTTGTAATACTTACTAATATTTCGGTATGATCAATATATATTTCCTTTGAATAAAAAACCGTCATTTTAGTAGTGTACTGTCTTGTGGTTTTGCTTATTTGATGAAATGATTTAAACAACTACCAATTATATTTCAGTATTTGGTATGGAAACAATAACAATGATATTGAATATGAAATTGTGATTTGCTTGTGGTTTTATTAGCATGTTTTAATTTCTAAAAAGCTCTTGTAAACGACTTTAATTACAGTAATTCTGTAAAATTGATTCCATGAGATTTGATTAAACTGTTTTGATAACTCATTGACATGCAGATACCATTCCTGATGATTTTTTGTTTTGTTTACGTCGTCTATGTATGTCCAATTGCTAATATTTGCCCATTTTCTGCCAAGGACTGATCTTTAAAAGTATATGCCCTGATTCCTCATTGAGACCCACACCTCACTCTGTCCGCGTGTATATAAAGTAAAAATACCTTGGAATGAACCCTACACACTAAGGTTAAAGTCGTCTTACACAAATCAAGAGATAATCTGCGAAATATTTTCTAAGTTTCCTCTCTTGGACCCCAACCAAAAGAAACCCTCATATCTAGAAAACATCTATATTTTTTGGACAAGGGATACTTGATGCCAAATTGGATCAAATTCTTTCAATCTTACAGAAAGAGTTGTCTTTAAAAATAATCTGTGTTTCACCATTTGTGGTCGGAGCGATAGATTGATCCATCTTCGATGGGAAAGTTACCTCCTATAAATCGAGTGTTCACGTTCAAAGACGGGATACTCACCTTTGATTAGTAGATTGTAATCCACCATATGTGATATACTCACCTTCTATTGACAAATTAAGCGCGTTCTTCGGCGGGACACTTACCTCCGATTGAAAGAGTGTACTCCTTTACAGAAGAGGTCGCTCTAGAGGATTTCACAAGACACTCGTACGTTCCTTCATCCTCCAACTGGACATTTTCAATAACCAGTACCCGGTTAAGGTCCGTTGCCCGGGCACGTGACGGCATGGGTTTGTTTTTACGGGTCCATGAATAGTAGAGTGGCAACCTGCAGATACCCAATCAATGATAAATACATCTCATCACTATACACGCGTATGAAAAAGCAATTTACATTTCTGTAGGAATAATTACACAAAAACCTACCTTCCATATGCTAAACACTCGATGTATATTGTCATGCCTCTCACAGGATTGGTAGGGTAGACTATGGGAAACCCGTCGTGTATTTCTGGTGGATATTCTGCCGCAGCTGAGGATTGGAAACAACTTCCAGTAAGAACAGTGTCTGTACAATGCTGTATAAATGTCAATTCATGAACACGTTGAAGTTTGTGGTATTTACACAGCTTACCATTCCATAAGCGGAACATCATATGGCTCCTTTATTATATCATCCAAGCTTATTACGTCGTTAATTTTTTAACCAATTTTGCCACCTCATGAAAATAAACATTATAAACATATTGTTCAAGCCACTAGTAAACATATTCAAAACGACAAATAACGACCCGTTAGACATACCCGCTTACAAATGCAATGTCGAGTTTGATTTTGGAATTGAAAGTAACTTCCTATCGACACAGTGTCTAATTCATAGACTGAGTCCGCAAACAATAGCAAATAGCTTCTGACGCTGAACCTTATGACGAGAACAACTCGCCGTTCTCAACCACAAAACATAGCTACCGACTGTGTCTGGTGCCACGAACAAGAATACATAGCTACCGACGCTGAATCTAATGCCACGAATTATAAAACATAGCTACCGACGCTGAGTCTGATGCCGAGAACAAGAATACTTAGCTACCGACGCTTATTGTAATTTTGAGAACAAGACCAAATAGCTACCGAGTTTGAGTCTGATGCCGAGGACAAGAATACATGGCTACCAACGCTGAGTCTGATGCTAAGTACAAGAATACATAGCTAACAACGCTGATCTGATGCCGAGGACAAGAATACATAGCTACCGACGCTAAGTCTGATGAAAGGAACAATAATACATAACTACTGACGCTGAGTCTGATGTCGAGAATTATAATACATAGCTACTGACGCTGAGTCTGATGCTATCGAGTTTGAGTCTGATGCCAAGTACAAGAATACATAGCTACCGACGCTGAGTCTAATGCGTAGGACAAGAATACATAGCTACCGACGCTGAGTTTGATGCCAAGTACAAGAATGCATAGCTACCGACGATGAGTCTCATGCCGAGAACAAATTCACCTGTGTACTTACACTGACTGCCTACGCTGAGTTTGATTCCAAGACTGAGAGAACTGGTCGGCTGGTCTGTGGTCAACGTGCCTGTTTGTCCAGCAGACAGCGTGACCGAACAGTAATAATAGCCCGTGTCCACGGCCTGCACTTCCGAGAAATAGAGATTTCCGCCTTGCGATACGAAGTAGTAATTGTTGAGCTGAGGCATTAGAAATTCCAATCCTTTCTTGCCATCTCTCATCCACTGAAACGTGGCACCTTTAAAATATAGATCATGTGTTATAAATGTAAGCATAGTGTTTAGCACCGGAAACGACTACACAACCTGGTGGGTTATCGGTGGATTTGTAAGACGACGAGTTTCTATTATAATGTACATGGTATGTGAGAAGAAGGGTTATTGCATAGTATCTAAATGGAGAGAAGGGGAGTTAAAGTATAGCCCATTATATGTGAGACAAAGGGTTATTGCAGTGTACGAAAACTGTGAAATGTTGGGTTATTGCACTGCACATGGTCTATGAGAATGGTTAGTTATGGTACTGCACATGGTCTGTGAGAATGGTTAGATATAGTAATGTACATGGTCTGTGCGAATGGTGCGTTATGGTACTGCACATAGTCTGTGAGAATGGTGCGTTAGGATATAGCATATGGTCTGTGACAATGTTGATTTATGAAAATGCACATAGACTGTGAGAATGGTGAGTTATGGTACAGCACATAGTCTGTTAGAATGGTGAGTTATGTAACAGCACATGGTCTGTGACAATGTTGATTTATGAAAATGCACATGGTCTGCGAGAATGGTAAGTTATGGTACAACACATGGTATGTGAGAATGGTGAGTTACGGTATAGCACTAGGTTTGTGAGAAGTATGGGTTATTGTATAGTAAATGGTCTATTAGAATGAAAGTTACTGTAGAGTACATGGCTTGCGAGAAAACATGTGATTGTACAGTACCTGGCTTGTGAGAAGGCGGGTTACAGTTGATGTAGGTTCCTTGATATTGGGAAGCATTCACTGCTCCTGGTGGAACGTTTGAATACTCTCGAAGATCTGGAAAAAAATGTATTTATTCATTTTTTTTATATGTCTACTGCGGCTTGATAATCGTTGATACTTATTAGTACACGATGAATAAATGATATTAATTTCGTTTATTTTGCTCAAGTAATCAATTTTCAAATAAAAAATATAACTAGCCTACACCACAACTGTTATGATACGGTCGTACAATCGAAATGCAGGTATTCCAGATTGATGCTCTCATAAAAACAAAGGAATACCAAATTTGAACTCAAGATTCATAAAACTAGTACAAAATACTGGCATGGAGGTTACATAAACATAGAAAAAAACTATAAGAAAAATAAGAACTGTTTCAACGTTACACCGTCATGTAAATCTGGATAAGACACAGAACATGCTTTGTCCTCAAGCGGGAACCGGGAATATGAAAAATTAACTACACCAATGGTCATACTCAAATATATCGACCTTCATATCACACAACGAAATAGCATATTTCTAAATGAAATCATTGCAGTAACTGTAACACTTGTCCAAGTCATCGTCAACTTGTAAATACCGTTGTTCTACAATTCAGTCTGTATTTTCAAGGACTGATTAGTCTATAAAAATCTTATTCAAGTAATTAAGCCGTTTAAAAAACCTAGCCACAATTGTTTGAATCAAGTTTAAAATTGCTGGAGTATTAAGGTGAACTATATATTACAAGATAACCGCAGCAGAAGCATGTGTCGGTAAAGACAGGATCGACCTAAGTGACTTATACAAGCCACATTTTGCCATTGTTTTTACATTGCATGTGTAATGTTACAGAACCGTGTTTGGTAGTTCTCTCTTATGCTTTAAAGAGATGCCGTGATTACTTACATCCGTATGTTACGTACACAATATCGCTGAGGGAGGAGCCAAACTTGTTGGACGCTACGCATTGATAGGCTCCTGCTGTAGTTGTCTCTGATACGTTGTCAAACGTAAGCTTTCCATTGGTAACCGTAATTGTCTTGGTAGCCACTACCTCGTCCGTTTGGTTACTGCCCTTATACCACCGATAATCTGGCTGAGGGTTACCCCTGGCAACGCACTCAAGTGATGCTGTCGTTGTCCTTTCCGTAATCACAACATCAGTGGGCTGGATGATAAACGATGGACCTGTCTGGACCTTATTTGGGTCCACGATATTTGTTCCAAAAGCTTTTCAATGAAAATATATACATAGGTTAATAAGTATTATATAGAAATGGCTGTAATATATATTTAACTACATGTTGTATATAAAAATAAATTAAATAAGAAAAGTTTTTTTTTTTTAATTTTGTCATTTTTTTGGTTTGCACAAATTTAAATTAATGTTTACTTACGAAATCTGAGTTTGTAGTAATTTTGCAATGCGTTTGGTTTAATAAGTTAGTTCAAATATTCTCAGTCTAAATGCAATTTGCATTTAATTATTTAAATGCTGTGTCTTTACATGATAAATTGTACAGCCTGTCTTTTTAAAGGAGTTTTACCTCGTAGTAAAGTCTGTCAACTGACTGCAATCTAACTTACTGGAGCCTGTCTTTGCATCAAAGACTGTCTACTAACGGAAGCCTCTCCCTACCTACTATCAAGTCTAAATACAAATTATAGCATTGTTTTGTTATAACATTATGTCCACTAGACTCGATTGCCTGTTTAAGAACCATTGCACTGCACGAAGCTGGGTTTAAGTAATACCTAGACAAGAACACGTCATGATGTCTGGTAAGGTTCCTTACAGACCGTCGCTGATAAGTCAACATTCAATCAATCAATTGTTTATTTGATTCCGAAGTTTCAAAATGCTTTCTTGTTCTTCAGAAGCTTGTTTCAATAAATATTGCATGTCTTTTAGGAAGGATTCCACGCGCAGGAGATACACTGTATGAATGTCAGCCAACCAAAAGATCAGGTTTGGAGACCAAACCAGGTGGGGAATTTCAAAGCTCAATCCAGCAAAGAGAAGGATATCTACGGTAGGTTATTCAGTATAGATTATCTAGTTTCCTGAAATCAACTTATCAACCAATGTGCTGATACTTACTGAAGTCTCGCTCGTCTTGTACAAGTCTGTGAACCTCCGCCCTTGGTATTTCACAAATGTAGCTTGATTTGACATTACGTGCCTGTTTCTGCCACCCGTAACCAGCTTGTAGATCTATAAAAGTAGCAAATATGATCGTCTTACTTAAGGTATATAAACAACACAGTAGCATAAGCTGGGCCCCATATAAATTCCCCTATTACATGTTTTTTTGCTATTTTATGAATCAATGTTATAGGAACAAAATTAGGTTGGGTTGGATAGGAGGAAGCATAATGTTGTTACCAAGCGTTGCTTTAGTGTTTTGGAACAAAACAAAAATGGAATAATTTATACGTGAACGATGTACAGTTTTACAGTTATTGTACAGTAATTACATTTATTGTAATGTAACGGTGATTCACAATCTTTAGCATGAAAAATCCCTATACGGATTCATATTTTACACGTACAATACAATTTATGTTACTCCTTCAGAAACTGTTCAAATCCTACAAAACAATACCAGATAATTCGAAACACGTGCGAAGCAAGATAATTACATTGTAACTAATGCTTGGCGTCTCGTAGGAGTTGGGGTGAACTAAGATAATTACATTGTAACTTATGCTTGGCGTCTAGTAGGAGTTTGGGTGAACTCAGATAATTACATTGTAACTTATGCTTGGCGTCTCGTAGGAGTTGGGGTGAACTCTGATAAGAACATTGTAAATAATGCTTGGCGTCTCGTTGGAGTTTGGGTGAACTAAGATAATTACATTGTAACTAATGCTTGGCGTCTGGTAGGAGTTGGGGTGAACTCTGATAATTACATTGTAACTAATGCTTGGCGTCTTGTAGGAGTTTGGGTGAACTCAGATAATTACATTGTAACTTATGCTTGGCGTCTCGTAGGAGTTGGGGTGAACTCTGATAATTACATTGTAACTAATGCTTGGCGTCTGGTAGGAGTTTGGGTGAACTCTGATAATTACATTGTAACTAATGCTTGGCGTCTCGTAGGATTTGGGGTGAACTATGATCGATTGACAATAAACCTGTACAAATATTTTGTCTCGACTGTTAGTCAAGAGAGTTTAAAGACATTCTATAAACCAAAACAAACCCAAAAATGCAATAGCGACGGACCAGGCATCGAACCAAGGACCTCATATCACTTAACTCTCTTTCTTACCATCTGTGCTACAGCACCTAATCACCGGAAGTGTCCTGATTAAATAAAACTACAGTTATGTCAAAAACCAAACGCATGGGAGGTTCAGGTATATACGAAAACGCTGTATTGTTTGTTTGTTTGTTTGGTGTTAGGCGTCCTCGCAACAGTCAGGGCCATATGAGATGAGGACGGGGGCCTAAGTAAACCCGCTGGAAAGAGAATGTATTAAGAAAAGAAAGAAGACAAAACAGGAACGGTAAAACATCCCAAGTGTTCCAGATCAAATTAAGTCTCTTTTATGTCCCCTTCGTATAAGACCCGAGTATGCAAGGGGCTCCACATTAGTCGTCTCTTACGATCATGCTGTAGGATGCAGCAGGCCACATCCTTTCCCCGGAACTGCACTGGCTGATAACTTCAGTGGAAATCTGAAGCAGTTTGCTCCCAATAGCACAAGGATCCTTAATCTATATTTATTGACAACATGACGTTGATGGGAACGTTTAAACAGTTTGGATTTCAAGACATCGTCTTAAGTGACTTGTTTCGGTGCAAAGATTAGGACAAAATACAAAAAAACGTAACTACTGATTTATCTTATCAGTTGTACAAAAACAAATGTCTCATATTTTAGCATGACGTACGTTTTCTCCCTTGTTTTTTATAAGGCTTTAAGGATTCTTTTCATTGATGCGCATAGTTAATCATTCGGGATATCTTTCTGGAGATTGAATGCTTAGCTGCCACTCTTTCCCATAGTCACATGACGCATTAGGTAAGTCAAAGGGAGAAAGTCGATTTCGTCCAAGTGTTTTACTTTGTTTAATTTTCTATCTGATAGAGACTTCAATAAACAGTCACAAACGACATATCAACATGGCTCTACAAACAGGTCTGATACCTTACTATAATGTCCTGGTGATGTACTTTTCTTAGTTTCTCGTGAAGATACTGTATGTATTGTTCCAATGAAAAATTACACATATTTGCAAAGTCCTCGTCATCTAGTCCAACATTTCAGTCACATCTTTGTCGTGGTCGTCAATGTGTGTGAAGACCTGGAGGTGGAGATATTGCTGAGCCGATCAAACGTTTCCTCTGCTTCTCACGATACTCCAATTATTTGTAACGATGGCTGTATAAATATATTGATATTATCATAACTCGATTTTCCACCCTTTCCATCTTAACGTACTTCCGGAACGATTCTACGACCAAGGTTGTAGAGATTACTTCCTGCTATTTTGTTTGGTATCTACGCAGTTTACTTGCACTTCCATTGTGACCTTGTTTGTCGGCGTCATCTAGTAAATGGTCTTTACGTGGGGGTTTCCTCTTGAATAAACACTTATGTTCTCATTATCGTCACAATAGTTTCAATTTAAACAGCCTTGCTAAACTATATTTATTTTATTAAATCGTTATAAAACAATACGGATCTCAATCAATAAAGAAAGCAAACGATCAACTTTAGCACAAATTTGCGATCTTTATGTTTGTTTATTGAATGGAAAGTGTACATAGTTAAATAACAAGATGTGTCAAAGGAAGCTTACAAAATCTAGAAGACAAGACAGCCTTATCGCACAATAGCATGCATTATATACAAGTGATATCACCCTTAGTATACAATACTTATGTACAATATATGATATACTGGTCGTAAAACAAGTAAATTAAAAAAACAACAAACAAACAGGACCATTTTACCACAGAATAAGTATATTTGAGTCATGTCAACCTCATTAAATATAAGATACAAACAGGCTGTCATGTATTACACGATTGTTAATGTTATACTTATACTTTTGTACATATTAAATAGTTTACGTTTGTACAAATCATATATTTTGTATACCACGTTTACAAATATTATGTCACACACGTTCGTACATATCATGTTTAACTCGTTTGCACGTTTTATGTTTTACACGTTTGTTCGTATTATTTATTAAGTGTTTGTAAATATTAGGTATATAACATTTGTACACATATTAAGGAATAACACGTTTGTACATATTATGTATTACACGCCTGTTCATATTATATATTACACGTGTGTACATATTATTTTTACACGTCTGTACATAGTATGTATTACACGTCTGTACATATTATGTATTACACGTTTGTATATAGTATGTATTACACGTCTGTACATATTATGTATTACACGTTTGTATATGTTATGTATTACACGTTTATAGATATTATGTATTATACATTTGTCTGTATTATGTATTACACGTCTGTACGTACTTTGTAGCCGGGATAAATCCCGTCAAATAGTGCACGAATTACTGTTTTTTATATGAATTCCCATTTCTTTTCAAAATTTGTAAATGTAACAAGATCCCCATGTTAAATAAATAACTTTTGGGGGGTGGGGGGATCAAAATTTTGAATTTGCACCATTATGACAATTATACTGCTTAATTTATATGTTAATAATAAAAACCGATTTGAGGAAAAGAATTGCCTATTTTGCACTGCAATGCCTGCAGATTTTCGAATACAAAACTAAAGTTTATATGAAATGTATATTTTATGGATGGTCTGTTAAGTGTTACAGCCACAAAGACAATCAACAAATACTTGATCTACAGAAGAGCAAAGATTTTAATAATAAAAATAAGTCATGCTTGATTAATTAAAGATATCCTTGATGTCGAACAGACCATGAGGGTTTTTATAGGGCACAAATTTTTGATATACTACTAGTAAAATCAATTATTTTATATATTATTTCTTTTCTGAATCCCGTCAATCACTCTTTTATAAATACATGTATCACTATCAATAGGTTATTCTTAAAGAACCTGACAGAATACTAACTAACGTTTGAGTCTAAACATTTCATTTGTCAGATTGTTAAGGCTTATTTACATACTATATATATTTTGAAGGAAATAAGCACTGTATCCAAGCAAAGAAACGCACTGGTACTGGTACAGTCAATCTCCAATTGAGATAGTTTTATACAATGTATTTGAAATGACAACAGCAAAAGGGCAACATTACCACTAGCTGGTATAAGAGGTAACATGCGTCTTAATAAATATTTACTAAAAATACATATTATACGTAATTGAAATATTTCGCTCATGTATGACAAATCACCAATGAATACTAAAAACTTCACGTCTTTAAAACAATAAGTGTGAAGTTTCTTATAGTTTAACGAAAAGAATGCATGTTAAATTGTCAAACAGGACGTATCAACATCCTAGAGGAAGCTAACGGAGCAAATTCTCTTTGACCAGGGTTAAACAGCAACCAACACATTGTGTCGGGGTCGTTAGTGCTGTTGGGTGAATAGAGACTGTTCAGATTTGCCGAGTGGCATTTGGTAAACCAGCCTCCTGTATGAAACCTTTCTGCACAACTGTCTGAGTGCTCGTCGTTGTCTTGGTCTTTTGCACTAAACTTTGCCCCGTTTATTAATTTATTTGGAAGTGACCCGGAAAATCCTGACAGAAATAGACGGTACCCATCACTCTCCGGTGCAAGGGAAAAGTTTTGATATAAAATGTATTTAGATGTCCCGTGAATGTCTGACAACTCTATACGGAGTTCATTGTGTCGTCGTGACGTCATTTGGAATATATTCTCGTTTCCTATCCAAAACTCAGCAAAAGGATTTCCAAATCCTTGTTTGTATTCCTCCCATGTGTTGTCGAAGTCCTGACTTCCATCAAATCGGTTTTGAATGACTGTCCACCCTTGTCCTGTGTCGTCTACATAACAGAACACTTCAAGTCGCTTGGCTTGGTCCGCTGATGGTATACTGTACACACCCGAGGGACTGGTTAGATCGAGTTCATGGCACGAAGAGTACGTGTAAAGTTTCCGGTAATGGTTAAACGAGTACGTAGCTGGTTGCACGGGGGCGCAGGTTCCATGTTGTTCGTCAAATGTAAATCCGTTGCAATTCTCGGCTAGACATCTTAGAGCACAACCCACGACAGCTCTTATCTCGCTCATATCCGTATCGCCGGTCAAGTCTTCGCTGTCCGACACATTGTGAAACTTATAAAGAGCAGAATTTGAGGCTTCGCTACGGTATAAATGGCAATTCAAGATCAGCGCTACAAACCGAATACTGATTACATTCGATGTTGCCATGACATTCATATACATAAGTTAATTCTGGTAACGCCAATTGCAGATGCGTTCTTGTACAGCAATCCTTTAAGTGAATTATTCTTACTCCACTAACGATATGTAGATAGTTGTACGACCACGCCTGATTTATATGTTAACGAATACTCATATTGATTGCTAGGTAAGACAAGATATGTACTCGTCTCGGTGCTTAACGATTGAACCAAAACGTACACAGATTTAAGCAACTGAAGGTCATGAAAAAATAATAATGTGAACTAGCTTTGCTGTTTTATATATTGTATTTTGATTCATACTGAATAAACTGTAATACTAAAAGCCTTGGCCACGTAGTTGAAAAAGTGATTAACTTGATCACTTTTAAACGACATCTTTCACCCTCTAATAAGTTGGTCTATATACAAGATAGGGACTTGTAATTTTGCATGCAATTTAGTCTTCTGGCAAGTTTGAACTCGATTAATAGATGTGTTCTAAAGATTCAAAAAGAAAAAGCTGCGCATTAATCATTGATTAAACTAATCACTGTTTGAACAACTAGGCCCTGTTTGGCATATTTGTTCAGATTTCGTTTTTGTAAAGGGGTTTTGGATCGAACCAATTCTATGCTACGGTCTCTTTTGATATTGGTTGTATTTTCAGCTTAGTAGTAAGAAAAGCTAGTTATAAATGTGTACTTACATATAATCTGTGTTGACTCGAAAAATCGATAATTTTATCGAAAACTGTCATATCAAATGCTTTGTCATACCAGCATTTCAATAACAAACGGTAGCTCCCTTGAAGATTCCTTTTTTTCTATTTTGTGAATCACTTTTTTGTGAGTGCTTACTTTTTAACAACGGAAGACGCATCCTGCTTTATTATGATTTATTCAAATGCAGGTTTTTTTCACTGTTAACACGACACCCCCCCGCCCCCTCCACACCCTTCCTTCTCCAACATATCCTTCTCCCGTTTCCCAAAAACATATACATTATATTTACCAAATGTATTGAGGAGAGGACTCTATTAAGTTGTAATAACTTGTTGTCACATTCATTTGTTTATTTGTACAATAAAATATGTTTAAACTTTTTATCACCTTTTGAAACATTATATGCTGAAAATGAATAGCTATCTAGGGGAAGATTTGGAGTTGAAAGGCAAATATTTGTTGCCTTGAATGTATAATGCAACCCTATGTAAATGTATCATATGCTTAAATATAAAGACCAGTTTACTTAAAAAAATCAATTTAAAATATCCGGCGTCTTTTTACGATGTAGGGAAACGTTATAAACGTTTCTATTGACCAAGGTACATATAAAACGTTAACATGAAGGCTAAAGTAGATATGCAATTTTATGGTGAATTTGAAACTTAAGGTTGTATGCTATCTTACTGTGACATGGGGACTTAAGGATGTTTGCTACCTTATTGTGGCATGGAGGCTTAAGGATATATGTATGCTTAATTGCTACGACATGGATACGTAAGGATGCATGATATCTTACATTTACATGAAGACTTACGGATGTATGCTACCTTACTGACATGGAAACCTAAACTTGTATTTATACACAGAAAAATCGTTATCCCCTTGACTTTCGTTCCTTAGAGTATATAGATTATTTTGTTTTGTTTTTCGATTATAACGGAAACTATATTCATGCAATATATATGTGATTGGTAGATTGGCTGGTGGGAAAATGGAATGCACGGGACACCCTTTGTTCCTGGCACGTTCCCAACCAACCCTTTCCCCATCCCTTTCTAAGACTCTACAGAGAAAATACCTGCTGGAATCTCCTTATCATTTAACTGGCCCTGGTTGGCCTTTCTATATTGTGAATATTATTCATTCATTTTGAATATTCTGATCAAATTCTCCTACGATTTGATGTATTCATTGTTAAATTACAGGATACTGTATTGAATATATCACATTACTAAATAAGACTTGTGCATTATATTTCTGATAACTGAAGACTATAGTATCTTGGAGCCGTGTGAATACGAGTAAAGGCTACCTATGTGTGTCTCTGCAACATCAGTCATATAAGACATTAATAGAAAACAAAAACACACAAAATTTCAATTTTCCTATCGTCAACTTTCCCTTTCTTGATAGTTACATATCTACATCCTTAATCTACGATGTTTACATGTAGCAGTTGATTCAGTATTTAACAACTTGCTTCAAGTATCATTACCTCCGTTATTGATGTCGACTGTTAAAACATAGCATTTCCAGATTTCAGGTTGATAAATACCATGGACATGTTTTATGGCCGCAATCATGATCTCATTTGCAAGCACAATATTTCTTTGTGTGATAAGAATGTCCGTGTAATTTTTGTATTATTCTATAGCGTCCTTGGTAGTTTATTGTCATTACCCCCAGTTCCCACTATGACCCGACCTTGGTTTACATGGTTGATGCGTCGATGAAGAAGATGCTTACCCATCCGGAACACCTGCCTGCTCTTATTCTCATTGTGCTTTTTCTATTGTCTCTATGTAAATCTCTCCTTGTTCATTCGTTGTCTTAGTTTATCGATTTTGTGTTCAAATAATGGTTTTAATGACCTTTCTTATTTATTTTTGAACGGAAGTGCAAACCGATCCATCCCCCACCCCACCCCCAAACAAACAACCAATCCCACTAAAGACCGATGTGGGAGGGATAAAAACGTTTAACGAAAACGTAATACTGCAAAATATTTTCATCAAAGAAACGACTTTCATACATGTTGTTTTTGTTTTTGTTTTACCTACGTGCTACGTGTAAATAATTTTCAAATGCTTGCAATCTCACATCAATTTAATCTAATATATTATGTCAGACATCAAAATATATAATATTTCGAAAACTTTAAATAATATGAACGACGACATACATATTATCCAGTCCATTTGAATAAGCATTACAACACGTCAGATTGTAGAAGCATTTTGGCATTTTTGAATAACTTAGCAGACAGTTTTATCATTAAAGCTGTGTCTTGTTTCATGTATGTTGTCAAATGTCATTTACTTTATAAGACTAATCTCATACAGATTCTGATAAAACCTTTAAAATGTAAAACGTGTGCCTTGTATATGATTGATAACAAACATAACAGTAAGTTTGTTGAGACCTGTGCATATCCGTGATTCCAACAAAACGTCGATTAAAGTATGGAGCAAAATGAACAAAAGAAAACACTACATTTCTGAGACCCTGAGAATACGCGTCTTTTGCTTCATCGATGAAATCCGCTCAACGTTTAGCAGGGAAAAGCAACCAACATTTTGAGGACTTTGATATATCCTGACTGGCTGTGGGTTAGTAACGACAAATATCAAGGCGCACTACTGAGTGTAGGCGAAAACATTAACCGTCTTACCACATAAAGAAAAAGCATAACTTATACAAATAACGAAATGCAAGTCCTTCTCATGACCATCATTAAGAGGAAGAAGTATTCGTGCTTTGTGACACTACGTATGACTTACATGAGTATTTGTAGACCACATGGATGGATGGGTTGTCTGTCTCTGCTGGGTTCAACCAGTACTCGATATTAGGGTCAGCAAACTGACCATCGCCTTCCCATTTAACACGGTCGTCTATCTCAGACCCACTTGTCCACCAGGTGTAGCGTCTGTAATGGTAAACGAGGAGTTCATGCTAGTTGTTATCAAAACAAAATCCAAAATTATCGGATATATTAATGTAATCTATTACATAACTGATCCATTTTACTGTGTCATACGGCCACGTCATAAATATGGTATTACACAGTTGTACTGACACCTAAAGGTGCTGTGATTAGTAAAAACTGTGGGAACATATTCCAGCGCCACTACAGGTACTACTTTTGCTAAGTACATCACAAGACACATTAACTGGTTTTTTTAAGTTTATTTAAAACGGTTCATTATTAGAAAATAAAATCTGAAATTGCTTTGCACTGCGCGGAACGACCATACCTACGATCGGAGTACTATGGGGAACTATATAGATTCAGCTGGGGAAACATAAAAAGGTTTTGTTTTTCATCAAATTATGAATGTTATGTGATAAATAGAATCATGCATTCGTGTCAAAGGCTCGTGTCATATGAAATTATTGAACGAGCTCAAATAAATACAATATGACAATGGAAACGAATGTAAGATCGTTTCTATATATAATCAATACAACCGACGATATCACATCCACGGACCAGACAGTTCGGTAACTACTCCCACATACACCTGAAGAAGGATTCGTCATTTTGCGATTAAATATGGTTTTCTGTAGTTAGCCTTCCGAAAGGATTTGTGTTTGTTTAGAATTTAACGTCCTCGCAAGAGCCAGGGTCATATCAGGACGGGTAGCTAGGGAGGCACTGTCGGGAAGAGAAAATATATACAAAAGAAAGAAAACAGGAAAGATAGGAAACAAAAAAGATCTCAAGTGTTGCAATAGGGACAGCAGATCATGTCTACTCTCTTACATGTCCTCTTAGCAGAAGATAAAGAAGAAACAACTGATTCTGCAGGGACAGCTCACATATCAGCGTCGTAATTCAGCTGATAATAATGTATGTGATGATAGTTATCTGTGTTGTATACAGTTTGCCTTATAAAAATGGTTTGATTTCTTCGGTATCTTGCCAAAATATGAACATATAACTATAGAATTTTCTTATTTAAGCGTGTACTTCTTAATACTTGTATGTAAAACTCCTTGAACGTTCTGACACAACTATAAAGTTTCTTTGTTTCTCACAAAAACAAAATGGTTCGATTGTAGACGAATTGCCTCTAAAGGGATCATATAGTGATATCCGCAGTGTCGGTATTAGCTATCTGCTTATATGAATGAAATCGTAAACAGTCCGTACAAGACCTTGGCTGTCGATAGGATACTAAACCCCTGTACAACCCACCCGTTGTACAGGCGTATAACATAGTAAACGAGTGATTATTCCCATGTTTAATGAACCAGTTTCGGAGATTACAAGTATGAGTAAACGCTGAAACACAATGCATGTGGTACATGTATCAAAACGATGAAAATAGGATATTCAGTTAGTTTTTATATAGAGGAGTCACCTTGTCTATGCATTTTGTAGAGTAAAAAGGCTGTTATATCTAAGCAGTGGAAGCCCGGGTGGTAAAAATAATCAAAATGTTTAATTTACTTGTTTACGAGGTTTTTTTTCAAGGAGCAACGGGGAACTTTTTTACTGTTATTTATAAAGGACTAAACTGCTACTGAACAGATAGCATTTTTCGTCAAAAGCAAGCTACATGTATTAACATTGCTGTACTGATTTATTGGCTAACTATGACATTTACGAAGAGTCATTGATTACACTTGGAATATATCAACGTTAGTTTCAAACTTATTATAATCGATGAAAATGTTATAACTTACAGACACTTTGTTATATAAATCTTCATTTACGTTCCATAAAACATATCACTTTCAATAATGATTGTTTTATATACATTCTTACATGAAAAAAAAGAGATTAATTCGTATTTGCAAGAAAGCCACATATGTGAAGCTGAATTCTGACGCTCAGTCGTTCGACAGATACTATACAGTAACGTACAGATAGAATGACAGCAAGGCTTAAGTTCATTATTAATTGCAGTAAAATAGCGAAAAGGCGAGTACAAATATCATCAAAACCGCAACTAAAATTAATAACTAATTAATCACAGTCCACATGAAATATTTTGGTTTCTCAGTTTTAAAACGAACTAACAAACAAACATTTTTACGTCATACTTTTACCTCCTTCGTTGAGTTGTAAAACCGTAATTCATGAAACTCTTAATTGACTCAGTCATAGCTTGACATAGGGACCAGTCGGTCTCACTCAGTCATCGCTTGACAAAGGGACCAGTCGGTCTCACTCAGTCATCGCTTGACAAAGGGACCAGTCGGTCTCACTCAGTCATAGCTTGACAAAGGGACCAGTCGGTCTCACTCAGTCATAGCTTGACAAAGGGACCAGTCGGTCTCACTCAGTCATAGCTTGACAAAGGGACCAGTCGGTCTCACTCAGTCATAGCTTGACAAAGGGACCAGTCGGTCTCACTCAGTCATAGCTTGACAAAGGGACCAGTCGGTCTCACTCAGTCATAGCTTGACAAAGGGACCAGTCGGTCTCACTCAGTCATAGCTTGACAAAGGGACCAGTCGGTCTCACTCAGTCATAGCTTGACAAAGGGACCAGTCGGTCTCACTCAGTCATAGCTTGACAAAGGGACCAGTCGGTCTCACTCAGTCATAGCTTGACAAAGGGACCAGTCGGTCTCACTCAGTCATAGCTTGACAAAGGGACCAGTCGGTCTCACTCAGTCATAGCTTGACAAAGGGACCAGTCGGTCTCACTCAGTCATAGCTTGACAAAGGGACCAGTCGGTCTCACTCAGTCATAGCTTGACAAAGGGACCAGTCGGTCTCACTCAGTCATAGCTTGACAAAGGGACCAGTCGGTCTCACTCAGTCATAGCTTGACAAAGGGACCAGTCGGTCTCACTCAGTCATAGCTTGACAAAGGGACCAGTCGGTCTCACTCAGTCATAGCTTGACAAAGGGACCAGTCGGTCTCACTCAGTCATAGCTTGACAAAGGGACCAGTCGGTCTCACTCAGTCATAGCTTGACAAAGGGACCAGTCGGTCTCACTCAGTCATAGCTTGACAAAGGGACCAGTCGGTCTCACTCAGTCATAGCTTGACAAAGGGACCAGTCGGTCTCACTCAGTCATAGCTTGACAAAGGGACCAGTCGGTCTCACTCAGTCATAGCTTGACAAAGGGACCAGTCGGTCTCACTCAGTCATAGCTTGACAAAGGGACCAGTCGGTCTCACTCAGTCATAGCTTGACAAAGGGACCAGTCGGTCTCACTCAGTCATAGCTTGACAAAGGGACCAGTCGGTCTCACTCAGTCATAGCTTGACAAAGGGACCAGTCGGTCTCACTCAGTCATAGCTTGACAAAGGGACCAGTCGGTCTCACTCAGTCATAGCTTGACAAAGGGACCAGTCGGTCTCACTCAGTCATAGCTTGACAAAGGGACCAGTCGGTCTCACTCAGTCATAGCTTGACAAAGGGACCAGTCGGTCTCACTCAGTCATAGCTTGACAAAGGGACCAGTCGGTCTCACTCAGTCATAGCTTGACAAAGGGACCAGTCGGTCTCACTCAGTCATAGCTTGACAAAGGGACCAGTCGGTCTCACTCAGTCATAGCTTGACAAAGGGACCAGTCGGTCTCACTCAGTCATAGCTTGACAAAGGGACCAGTCGGTCTCACTCAGTCATAGCTTGACAAAGGGACCAGTCGGTCTCACTCAGTCATAGCTTGACAAAGGGACCAGTCGGTCTCACTCAGTCATAGCTTGACAAAGGGACCAGTCGGTCTCACTCAGTCATAGCTTGACAAAGGGACCAGTCGGTCTCACTCAGTCATAGCTTGACAAAGGGACCAGTCGGTCTCACTCAGTCATAGCTTGACAAAGGGACCAGTCGGTCTCACTCAGTCATAGCTTGACAAAGGGACCAGTCGGTCTCACTCAGTCATAGCTTGACAAAGGGACCAGTCGGTCTCACTCAGTCATAGCTTGACAAAGGGACCAGTCGGTCTCACTCAGTCATAGCTTGACAAAGGGACCAGTCGGTCTCACTCAGTCATAGCTTGACAAAGGGACCAGTCGGTCTCACTCAGTCATAGCTTGACAAAGGGACCAGTCGGTCTCACTCAGTCATAGCTTGACAAAGGGACCAGTCGGTCTCACTCAGTCATAGCTTGACAAAGGGACCAGTCGGTCTCACTCAGTCATAGCTTGACAAAGGGACCAGTCGGTCTCACTCAGTCATAGCTTGACAAAGGGACCAGTCGGTCTCACTCAGTCATAGCTTGACAAAGGGACCAGTCGGTCTCACTCAGTCATAGCTTGACAAAGGGACCAGTCGGTCTCACTCAGTCATAGCTTGACAAAGGGACCAGTCGGTCTCACTCAGTCATAGCTTGACAAAGGGACCAGTCGGTCTCACTCAGTCATAGCTTGACAAAGGGACCAGTCGGTCTCTCTCAATCATAGACTTGACAAAGGGACCAGTCGGTCTCACTCAGTCATAGCTTGACAAAGGGACCAGTTGGTCTTGAAACGTTGCGACACGTTTAATACGTACATTGTTTGTGTAAAAAGTAAAACTTTGATATCATATCACATATTTCCAAACTGATGAATCTTATTGAAGATCTTAATTAAACATAATAGCACTTATGACAATACACCATATAGTGCCGTTATCAGGGGGAGCATGATGAATTGGTGTTGTGCAACCTGATGATTGATTAATGATGATTAATTTATATTGCTTATATTGATGTGAATCAGTTGAAATCTGTTTCCCAGTATCAACTGATCATTATTGTCATCTGATTGATTTGTAGTTAGCTGAAATCTGTTTCCGATGATCAGCTGATTAATTGATTTGAATTATATTGCTTAATTGGTTGAGAACTGTTTCCCAGATTCAATCAATTAAAATGTTTATTGAAGTTGAAATGTATTGATGGCGTGCCATTATGGTATATTGGCAGAAAACGTGTATTAATGTCGGTCAGACACAATATTACACAGTGTACAACCAAGTTATAAACAAAAGCATCACACATAATTCAATGTATTATAAAGTATTATAAATCAGAAATTAAGACGTGTCACCGATACTGTTTAAGTTAAACTGGTAGACTACTAGTATGTCCAGCAACAAAGAAGGACAACTCAAATTGAACGTTTTGTCATTTCTCCAGAATTCGAATGGCGCAGCAAAGTTAACCACATTCAACTTAACCTTTATTTCTTGGTTCAACATTCTCAAACCTGCATAACATTTGGTAGATAAATCATCTATCCTGTTGTTTCAATACAAAAAATGCGAAAACTGAACATTGTTCGTCCGAAAAATATATTTCATCATTACCTGCTATTTGTTTCATGATTTCGTGTAACGTGATACATCATTGTATGACGTCACAGGACTATATTTTCTTTTCAGCTTAGGAGGGAAGCAGACGCTAGCAAACTTAACAGGCATGGAATGCATTTTTTCTTGTTTTTGTGCAATCGAATGTTGCTTTTTTTCAAAACACTATGAGAACAATTGAAAAATAGCAAACAATTTGATTGTTACGTCAGGAGATAGAAAAATCTAGCACTGGGTTTATTTACTTATTTATTTAATATTTGTAAGACTTCATTATCATATTTTAATTCAGAGTGGCGCCACAGCTACTAGTTATACTGTTGCAGCAGTAGTTTAGACCTATTTTGATTTCTGACTTTTAGCCCTACCTTCACCGATGATTATTTTGTATCCAACTGTATTCATTACTACATTTTAAAGGAGCATCTATCATTGCACAGTACATTTATTAAGTTCACGAATTATGACACGGAGCTAAACTGTAACACTCTCTTCGTCCCACCTTTATCTTAGACATATTATATCTTATATGTTTAACACATGTATTTATTATATATTACAGCTCCTATAAGCTGTTATGCTTTTGGAATAAACTGAATTAAATTGAATGATAAAATTGAGGAGCTTACTTTGCTATATCGATCGCCTTCAGTTGTTGTATGATGAAGATATGCTCATCGTACGAGTTAACACTGACGAGGGCAGCACCTTTCCCCTGTAAAATACAAAATAGATCAGGTTATACCTATTCCATTTCAAACTTACAAAGACACATGTACTTTATACAATTGGTGTATCTACCTGTACAGGTGCGGGAAAGAAAAATAATTCTGAAGTGTCTCGTTACATGATCGAGCGAGTGACTTAGGTGCGTTTCCTGTAATTGGGGGTTTTCCTCTGTGTCCTCGGTTAAAGAGACACTGTACAACACAATACAGATCTACTGCTGCACCAGTTAAAGTACTTAAAATATTTTCATCTTTCAGTTTACCTGTTTTCGGTAGCTGTAGTATTTTAACATCTCTCTTAGCAAACCTACTGTTTACCAGTTTATGTGTTCCATGTAACCATCAATGTCCTTTGTGTCGTTAAGATATGAAATTAACGATATTGATGATTGCCGCGTGTTATGCAATAATTGTCCGTTTTTTGGTTTGCGTGTTGTTGTTGTTGTTGTTCTTGTATTTGTTGTAAAATATAAATATAGTAATTAGATTATCCTCGATATTCTCTATTAAAACAAAAACAAATATGAAATGTACATTTCTCAAAGTAATAGAGTTAGCTATAGTGTTAGTATTACATACGATGGTACCGAACCAGTGGAGAAAGATGGTCAAAAAGGTGATAATTGTTATTGGTTGAAACTCAGAAATTATCAAAACATATTATATTCATATCCTACGTAAACAAGGACAGTTCTCCATACAATGCTATGTCTATGAATTCAGGTGACCAACATCTAGTTCTTCTCCTACAGACAATACATTATTTCATATTTATCAACAAAAAGCAGGAAATAACAAGTTGTCAACAACACTGTGATTCGAACTCATAATCGATAACACTTAGACTGAACACTTAGACTGAACACTTAGACTGAACACTTTTGACATTCCCAACATAAGCCCATTTGTGAAAACAAGAATGCATATATGCATTTATAGTTTGAATTATATTATTGTACAGCAGTGTCTATTTTTCGAGTTGTGCGTACCTTGCATATCTTATCGGCCTCTTCGTACAGCGCTAGTGGATCTTTGATAAATTCATAACAACTTTGGCCGTGGAAAAACCATCCAAGAGGACACTCTAGAAATAAACATGATGAACTATTACAATGAATTTGTAAATGAAAAGATACATTATCAGCGTAGCTATTCTAAATACCACCATACATAAGCACAATGAACATTTAATAGGTATAAATGTGAATGTCCTATCTGGACGGAACACGTGTGTGAAATACCATATGTGACATGTAGACATAAGTAAAATGTCATCTTTGTAATTATTTGTACACATGTGTATCCCGGGATGTCTTCCTTGAGATTTACATGGCCATGCAGGTTCAGGTAAGAATAGGACTACTGTTTTCCATTACATGTGTACCGTTAAAGGCGACTTATGTAGGGCCCATTCAGAGTCGGAAATTTTCTGTCGTGTCTTCTGCTAAAAAGACACTGAAGAAACGCTTGATTCCTTTCTTACTTTTCATTCCGGTGATGTCTCTCTAGGCACTTGGCTTCATCTGATCTTAACTATAGCTAGGGCGTTAAAACCAACAATTCAAATCAACATTTACACCTCGAGGCGTGTCATCTGTGTTGTATCTAGTTTGTGTAGTTGTATCAACACCAAATCTACTTTGAGCAAATGCTTGAAAGCTATTTCTATGATGAATAAGTGTGTGGAACAAAGATGCTAAATACAAACACATTACATCGTACTTAGGTAAATACTCCAATACTTAGTATCCCAAATATACTGATTTGTTTTGAGAGAGTGAAAAGTAAAGAATGCTTTCTTTTCTTGTTAGTAACATCATCGTACTAAAATCACTTAACACTGGTAAGAAGAATGCTGTAAGGGTGCGCACATGTCTTTATAACTATTATACACTTTTTTTTATATGAGATTAATTACAGATAAAGCAGGCCGTAACAAATTAATAGAATATCTTACCCTTTATGGGATTAGATAGGGAAATCTCAACCCGAGGGAGAAAATTCGAAAGTTGTCAAACACGAGGCTTTGAGAATTCCCCGTCTCAACTCTAGGGTGATATAAGGTTATCTCACACATGTAAAGTTGTAGATACACCTTTCCAGGGTAAGATAGAGTATACATTACGTATATTTCTGGCCTTACCTCCTATATTTTGACTGTCCAACCCTACCACAAGGGTACACAGTAATACTACTGCCGTCGTCCTCATCGTTATTCTCCTCTTTACCACCAGTATCTCATAGCATAATCTGTCGGCAGAAAGAAATCAACATGTAATTATAGTCAATGCAAATTGATATATAGAGGAGATTAAATGAATTCTCGAAGAATATCATGTTTATTTGACGAGTATGGCAAAGTATACGAAATATGCGAAGCACGAGTAAAAACATCAGTATATTCTGCCATACGAGTCACATGCGGAAGATATTTAACGTGACTAATATGGCGGCATAAGAAATGTGCAGGAACTAGTAGCATAATATTTCACGCAACTGAACAGATGATTTGCGGCAGAAAATAGAAAATGTCATTTTATTTGGTCGATATCAAATCGAAAATTGACCTTATATCACAGGTGAATATATTACTTGTTTGTATATCTTTACTGCAGTGCAGATATAAGTTTAATTTCTGAGACTTCGCCGGTAAAAATGTAATGAATTGTTTTATTTTGTCGTGGCTAAAGCGATATCATTTGATAGAGTAAAATACAATTGTTCTAAAAAAGATTAGGATCAAAGATCACCGTCACAAATCATGAATGTAAACAATCACGTTTAGTAAAGACTGACAATAAAACACAAAAAGGTTGGCCAGGAGGAGGTAAGAGTCATATTTACTCAATGTACACTGTAACTGTCACGAAATGTCGGCTACTCATCACCTTATAATTGTCACCCATCATAAGCCTATGTAATTATCTAGCTAGAATAAGCCACTATAAAGTGCTTTACAGTACATATATATACAATTTATACACTCAATACTATAATAGACATATACATTATCTATTACATTAATCAATACACATTTGGCGCTTATTATTAGCCCTATGTCACCTAACTAATATCTCCATATGTGTGTATGCTTGCGTGTGTGCTGGAGATATATTGTAGGAGTCTTACCGTTTTACAATTTAAGGTAGTTATTTTCACCCCGCTCAAATGCATCAAGCATTATTAATACAACGATATCTTCATTTGAATATTATAATATATATATATTGTCTCATTCTCGTCATTCAATACCTATACTAGTCTATTTAGGAGCTCTATCACATGATAGGAGTTGTAAAACTTATATTTTCTCAAATCGATTCCTAATTTCCTAAAGACTGAGTGATCTGCTTGACAACAATGAAGCTCTATCGGCAGACATAGCTTGCGATTCTGCCTGCTTTATCTCCCTCTGCGAACACTGGGACAAAAAGAGCTAAGCGTGATTGATTACCAACCAAAGTGTTTTTCAAGAATTTTAAAAGACTAGGTTGTATAAAATTCTGTTCATATACGCTTAAATGATAATGATATATACTTGAATTGTTTATACATTTAATTCCGAAACTTTACAGAAATCGTTACTAACAAGGTTTTATTGCGCAAACTGCCAGCTGTTCCAGGACGATTGTGTTGGGGTTTTTTTTCAAGCAATATTGTCATAATTTTTACAGGACAAAAACGAGCAACCCTTTACTTGGCCGGTTGGTTTGGGGGTTCTTTTCAGAAAAGGCTGAATTTATAAAGAGCTTAAATGTCACTGTCAAACATACTGACAATCCATGTCCTTCAATGCCACGATATGTACTGACCGCGTGGATTGTGTATACCTACATAAAACTTGAAATCAATTATTTTCTGTTCTATAACAGTCGCGTACGCTGATATTTTTTAACTTGGACGGCTTACTTTTAGGCTGTACTAGAAACAAAAGGGCCAAGGACCACGGAGCTCTATTACACATGATATCTACTGATACATAATTGCATAAATAACAGGTAATGTATAAATACAGTAAGAATGGTATTAAGATATACTGGGGATATCAACATAAAGATCACACAAGGTCACAAGTTAAATTGCTTATCAATCAGACATATTTTTTTTTAACCTTATATAGCCTGTTGGATTGGCATGCCTATATACTTATTATGGATTGGTTTTCGTAAGTGGTTTTGTATTTATTATAAATGATGGGTGCCAATTTGGGCCTTCTGGTGGCCATCACCGATAAGTATCATTTTTTTATCATTGTGGTTATGCCAATATGATATGACATGAAATTAATGTCAGCTTGGAGGCCATTCCGAGATATGAGGGGGTAAAGTGGGGGACCCAAATCATAAATGTTCTCTTTATGACAAAACTACATGTTTTTTTAAGTTTCTTCCTAATTGTATCATGTAACGCTAAAGCTACAAAAAAATAGCCGAAAAGTAGCACAAAGTTGAAAAGTAGGTCACTGTCACCTTGCTATATATCTGCTTAATAATGTCAACAATTCCTTCATTTTTTGTGCCAAAATACAAATTAGAACCCTACAATTATCTAAACAAGTTTATATTTATAATTATCTTAAGCAAATACCAAGAAATGGGAGTCAAGTGCCCGCTGACCACGTTTCTTACACATTTCATATTATGTAGGTACAGGAATTTGTAATTCTATGCCGGTGAGTAATAGCCTATATTTCACTCCATACACCAACAAATGGATATTTCCCTGCGTGCGCCTCATTTTTTTATTCTGAACTTCTCCCCTTTGTCAATCTATGCTGTGATCAACTTAGAGAATGTGTTTCCTCCCGAACTCCCATGGGCTTCAAGTTTTAAAAGTATTTTTTCGTTGATATAGTTAAAGCGGAGCCCTCTGGGGTCCAGGCAAAACTCAATGACTATAATTGAAAATGGCGACTTTGTAATGTAAACAGAGCATTCGTGTAACTGTTACTTTCACATCTGAAAGTATTGCCTGATGTATACGACATGAGTTCCACAACGTTAATATTAAGAGGGGACTCCTTTTCTGGGGGCCTCTAACAGCAAGCAAGCCTTAACTCAAAAATATATTCATTAAAACTACAAAATCGATTTTAACATATATATTTGATCAATAAAGCATCTTCAGAATATAAGTCATCGCCAGAGTTAAATATCATTATCATCTATATTTTAGTCGCTGTCATGCTTTTCCTTTTTTCGGAGATCACTATAAAATGATTATCAAAGAGCTAAAAATTGACATAAACGTCAACATGGGCCCGCAATGACAAATATCATTTTGATTATCACTTATTACATTGATTGATGTCGAATCCTGACAGAACAACAGACTTGATAGGTTTTCGAAATATGGAGTACCTTTGCAGGTTTTAATATCGTTGACATAATAAAATATTCTATTTCTTTATGCGATATATATGTCTATGATTTTGATTTATCACAAATATGATATTACTTTGATTAGATTAAGATTTATATGGCGGCGGTCGTCGATGAAGCTTACTCCTGCGGAACACCTGGGGCCTGTTCATTTATGCGGAATAACCGGTTTGTCCGTTTTTTAAATGTAACGATTTCGGGCATTAATCCTGGCGGACCTGCAAATGTTTATGTAGGCCTTGTAAGGCTTTGTCAAGGCTCGCCTGAAAGCAGCATCAGATTACTAGGTCCGACATTATTAAATAAACGAAAACTGTGGTCCGACCGGTTGAACCGTTTGAACGAAAACGGACCAGGTCTTCAGCTTCCTATACTATCTATTTTAAGATCTCCGCAAAAATAAAATGATTTGTTCATATTTGCCCTGATTTCATAGACTAAGAATTCGAATTCATTTATATTTACGCTTGAGTATCCTCTTTGTCGTATAAATAATTGACTGATTTAGATTTAAATTAAGTGAAATGAATTGCTCAAACTGATCAATTGAAAGTTAAGGCAAAAGACATGTTTTTTGATAATGATTCAGGTAATACGAAGATTCTGTATTATTTGACATATTGCACTCGAAATAATTTCGCATATTGAAAATTCAAATTCGTAAACGCACGGATAGATATGTTTAACACGTCAATAGCACGCTATTGCTCATATACATGCATACATATATATTTTTACTACATTTTTGCCAGTGAAATATCGGATTCTATCAACTTGATATTGTGACAAATATCAAAAGCGATATTTTCACAGATTCAAATGAAGCGACAGTAGAATAAGTGGTTGTTTGGGTGAATGTTTGGTACACACACTTAAGTATTTACATAAATATACAGTTGATAACATTTTTATGAGCAAGTATACAAACAATTGGCAGAAATCCTCGTTAAGTATCCCATTCAAAATGGTGCGCAGCCTTGATGTCAATCGTGACGTCATTAGAATATGGCGCTAATCATTACGCTTCTGATTCCTGTCCTTTTTTTAATGCATTACATTTTTCATGTTTGAAGCTTTAAAAATGCAATAAATAGAACATTTAATGGTGTCTTCAGTAATAAAAAATATATTCCACGAGTACGGCTAATATTTTGATATTAGCCAAAATATTAGCCACGCTCGTGAAATGTATTTTTTATGACTGAAGACACCATTACATTGATTTTTAAAACGCCGTTCAATCCCTATATATCAAAGCAGTATTAAATATGTACATACCTTATGTGGAAACGCACTAAGTTTTTGTTTCACAGCACACAAAACAGTAGCCTGCAGTGACACGAATACATTACAAACGCTACCTGTAGCCCTGTCCGCAGAGACATCGAACAATACTACACATCCATCTTAACTGACTGCCGATCAGGTGGTGTTTGGCAGGTGTTTCACCGTTAACAAGTTCACGAGGATGATTTGTTGCGCATTTAAAATCCAAACACTGACACGGTTTCAGCTATATCGGATGACATAAATTACGGCAGGTTTTTGTATTTCACAAATAATGGATGCTACAAGACTTCCAATTTCTCATGAATAGATATTCTGTTTTTTAATATTAGAACGCTGGAATTTGTTAATATATTGGTGTTTTTTTAATAAGAATGTCTGTCCCACTGCGGACAAAATGTTCACTGTCATTTCCCGTACATTAAGTACATGTAGGCCCTTTTTTCAATTTCGCTAGGGGCACATCTGTAGCAGTGTACCGGTGACCAGATATAGCGACAGTAAAAGGAGGTCCAGGGTTCGAACCCTGGCATGGCCTTTTAAAATGGACAATCATAGTACTGTTTTTGAATGTTTAGGTTG